CCGCTTGTTCAAAAGTGCATGGAGGGGCACACTTGCGAGCTTGAGCGCCAAAATTCATATGATAAAAACATATGCCACTTGTGGGTTCTTTGTACTGCGTTCGAGTATTAAGACGAGATGGACTCCTGCTTCGGGCACGAAATTTATTACGTGGGCCCTGATTTGATCGATTGTATCTCCGTGAAGCATGAAGACTTGTAGAGAGTTCAGATACTTTTGGTCAATTCAGCCACTTGTTGTTCGAGGGATGAACTGGAAGGTGCAGCATTAGCAGCACTGACATAAGCTGGAGTAACAAGTTCATTAATTTTGTCAGCCATTGCTGCTAAACGGGTTAGATCTTCATTGGAAGCAGCAAGAATTATTTGTATGTTATTAGGGAGACGCGAAAGCCATAGTGACTTCAACAAGTCGTCACTAAAATGGCTTCCTGCCAGATCACGCATTCGTGACAGCAAGTATGAAGGTCGCTGATCTCCAAGTTCAAGTCCTTGTAGTAAAGTACGTATTTTTGAAGATTCACTTTCTGAATAGATTTCAATGAGCCGCTGTTTCAGTTTGGAGTATTTATCACAATCAGGTGGTTTGAGAATTAAGTCATGCACTGAATTCAGAATATCAGACTCAATTGCTGCAACTACATGGTTGAATTTTGTAGAATCCTCACTAATGCGAGCGATAGAAAATTGTGCTTCGATCTGAGCGAACCACAATGAAGGATTATTTTTCCAGAAAGGCGGTGGCTTCACCGCAACGCGTGTGATTTGTGGCTCTGGTGGAATATCGTCGGGCATACTGATAGATAATTTTCACTTTAATTAATAAACACTTATCAGCACAAATATTGTAGCATGAGGATACACTATTGATATTTTACCATGATAACAATAAATATTTTAACCATGCAGAAAAAAATTTACGTAACGATACACACACACAAATAATACAGGGTCAGCAATTACACACACAAATAATATTTTACCGAAATGCATTTGAAAAGAAACCCTTATTTGAGAAAAAAAATGATGCGTTCATTTTGTATTGCGCACACACAAAATCACCACTTCACACTGCTAAGGCACTTTCGAAGGAAAATGGAAATCACTCCTGTAGCACATGGGAAAAAAATTCACTACTTTCGAACACTGAGGGAAGAATTTTGCCGTAGCACGTTGCAGAAAAGTTACTGATGTAGCACATTTAGCGAAAATCACTGTTGTAGCACATTTGTCACAAAAGTTGAATGATCGAAGAATTATTGCACGACTGGCGAAGTCAGCGGAACGGAACAGATCACATTGATGATTTGCTGAAGCTCCTTGCGATGATATGCACGACTTTGAAAAAAACACAAGCAATATATATCAATACTTCTAGAAATAATTGAAGGGGTACGTTGTAGCATACGTTTAATGTCCATATTCGTTGTTATTTTTAGTCAGTTCTTCAGAATGCCTTGGATGCACGTGGCTTAGGGTCGTTGAAAATCCATTGTCAGTAGCGTGCTCAGTCAAAAGGTCACCACTTTTGGTGGTCGTGTGTGCTTAATGCATGATATAATTAAAGAAAATAAGAGTAGACAATCTCCTATAACAAAAATATATTAAGTACTAAATTACAATTTAAATTACATTGCAGAGATCAACACAGAGCTCGGAACACAGTTCGTGCTAGCGTCGCGTACAGTTGTCCGACGAGAAGTCTGAGTGAGTAAAGATGTCGCTTTGCTGCTCCGATTAAGAACTGGATTTTACACGTGGCGCCATCTCATGAATAGAAGTTGAAGTATCTGTCGGAACGCCACATATTAGCCTGATGTATCGGGTCCTAAATCTGCGCCCTGCCCATATCACCCTGGCGCTGTTTGGTTTATGTGAACAACAAATCAGTATTCTATTCAAATAGCTCTAAATAATTTTGTCTATGGTATCATAAAAAATCTTTTTTAAACGGAAGAAATTTGGTAAATTTCTCGTCAACATCTTTTAGTGCATTTAACTTAAATCTGTAATCATTGCCAAGCATAATGTCAACATAAAAGATTACTATACTTCTTTATTATTCACTTACTAACATAAAAAAAAAAAAAAAAAAAGTTTAGGCATTGCTACATGAGTCATTACTCAAGTTGTCATGTTTTGATAAACATGTGTTGATGAAAGGAAAGTATAATAAATAATGATTCGCCAGGTTGGCTTCGTATCAACAATGTACGTAGCATATTTGGAAACTAAGTACTGTTTCATTCTAGCGCTATCGCAGCGCTGTGGTAGGTGTCCCGCGCATGTGCACTAGTCTTTCTTGTTCACTGACTTTCAATTGTCGCCATTTTGGTTGCTCTATGTTGTGTTTTCAGTTTGCTGTGCACATTCAAAATGTTTAAGACAATTAGTTCTCCCGCTGACTGTGAGATTCATGCCTGTGATTAAATTTTTGAGCACGAGGAATGTTAAACCGGCCGAAATTTATCGTCAAGTGACAGAAGTTTACGGTGAATATGCAATAAGTGATGGAATGGTGAGAAAGTGGGTAAGAATTTTTAATGCAGGTCGAACAAATGTCCACGCTGAGGCTCGGAGGTGTCGGCCTTCTGTTGTCACCGATGATTTGGTACGGAAAGTTGATGAAGCAATTCATGAGAACAGATGTTTCACAATGACTACTCTTTCAGAGGCATTTCCACAAATTTCACGTACTGTTTTGTTCGAAATTGTGTCTGACTGCTTGAATTACCACAAACTGTGTTCCCGATGGGTTCCAAAAATGCTCACTGATGTTTACAAAACAAAGCGACTTGGTAGTGCCCTGACATTTCTCATGCAGTACAGTGATGAGGGAGAAAACCTTTTAAACCAAATTGTGACAGGTGACAAAACTTGGGTGTGTCATTTCACACCAGAATCGAAACAACAATCGATGGAGTGGAGACACACTTATTCTCCGAACCAAACAAAAGTTCAAAGTGACAATGTCATCACAAAAAATCATGTGCACTGTCTTCTGGGATAGGAAAGGCGTTTTGCTTACTGAATGTCTTCCCAGAGGTGAAACCATTAATGCGGCACGATATTGTGAGGCTTTAACAAAACTAAGGCGTGCCATTCAAAACAAACGAAGAGGAATGCTCAGTAAAGGAATTGTGTTGCTCCATGACAATGCTCAGCCCCATACTGCTGGTGTCACTCAATCGTTAATTCGACAGTTTCATTGGGAGCAGTTCAATCACCCGCCGTACAGCCCGGACTTGGCGCCGTCCGACTATCGCTTGTTCCTGCACATGAAGTGCGAGCTTGGTGGCAAGCGCTTTGGATCTGACGATGACACGAAAAATGCTGTGGAGTCGTGGTTATCGAAACTGGCGGGAATTTTCTTTGATGATGGTATACAAAAACTGGTCACCCGCTATGACAAGTGTTTGATCATTGGCGGAAACTATGTTGAAAAATAGTTTAAGACATGTATTTTCATGTAAAAATAAAATTGGATTCGAAAAAATTGTTTTACTATTTTTTTTTTTTTCAAAACGGTACTTAATTTCCGAATATGCCTCGTATCTATGTGGAACGTTTCGGTTTGAGACGCGTGCCAAAAAACAGATACACAGCAATGGAGCCAAATTACTGATTGTATGAATTTATGCTAAATTGATTGTTTCTTTAATAACAAGGTATTTTATTTAGTGTCAAAGTGAAATTAAGAATTGGGTCTCTCCATATGCTTTATTACGCGTGGAGGGAGGGAATCAAGTGCGCATGTGTAAAACCTACGAGAAAAACGTTGGTGGTTTTGAGGTCCAGATTTTAGATCTTTCCAGATGATGGATGTCCACATTTTGGACTTTGTATTGTATTAGAAATTGGTGACTAAGATCATTTTATGATTTCTGAGATGATGACATTAACTTCAGATACACAAAAACTGTATGAAAACATGAAAACTGTGATAATATGAAAAACGTTCTTTTAGGGAATATCATTAACAACAATGTTAAACACCTTTTTTTCTTGGTTCCACCACATATATGCTTTCAATTTTTCTAACTTAATAATTTCTCTGAATAAATTATGAAATCAAATATACACAACTGAAAAATTTTAAGCACTTAGGATAAAAAATAAATAAATAACACCACACAAAAATATAATTTATTGTATTAATTATTGTAATGCAAAATGAAAGAAATACATGCAGAAAATATAAATAATTATTAAAAAAGTAAATAGCCTTCTTAAAACGAAAAATCAAATTTTAAAATCTGTTCATTCTGCTAAAGAAATGTCACTGTTGCTGACATTAAAGTCTGAAAAATTGGACGTTTCTTGGTTTAAAACCATGAGTTTCTTGGAGGTTTTTACACTGTGTCATGATGCAATTTCAAAAGAATTTCATATTGACTCAAATCAACTTTATAATGCATGATGCAGGTTAATGAACTATTTATAATGCGACTCTGATGTGAAATATATTAATATTTAATCAGTTGGTCTAAATGTCATGTTTTTAAATTATTTGTGAATCTTTTCACTCTTTTAGACTGAAAATCCCGATTAGAGAAGAAAAGTTTTATTTATGCTTTATGAGTGCTTATAAATATGATGAACATAACAATTAATAGTTAATATAGATACTACTGTGGGGATAAAATTAGTATCATTTGTTGATATACAACAAAGTTAAATACAAATGCGAACTGAATAAACATTGGTTGAATCTTCATTAAAAGTTCTACATATGTTGACTATTGATTAAGACAAATTAAGTCAAATAAAATTATGGAGGAAATGACTTAGGTGGGGGAAGCTGAATTTCCAAAATTTAAGCTTCATTAATTCAATATATTTTACTCACTGATGGGAAACACTTTCATTAGTAACGGCCGAAAATTATACTGGAAGATCTAGTAATTTTTCAATCACAAAGAAAGTAGGAGGAAAAAAAGGGAGGGAGATAACTTCTGTTTACAAGATTTTCATAATAATTCAGTTTCAAATAGTTTTTACCCTCTCAACCGGGTTCCATTCGGAAGAACTTTTTCGACACCACCAAGCAGCAAACACAGAATAGCTTTCTTTATGTATTCGTTACCATGAATAGAAGGTGCAAGAGAATGAGCTAAAATTTCAAAGACATCCTAAAAAATAAATACCATAACGATCAATCAATTACATCATTGTACACAAAATGACATACCAAAAAAAAAAAAAAAAAAAAAAAGAGAGAGAGAGAGAGATAAAGAGAAAATAACACGTTACTATTCTAAATACTGGAAGTTATAAAATTTAAATTTTAAGTGTAAGGATAGTAATTTTTATCAAAGAAATTATTTTTTTTCTAATATTGTACAAAGTACACTATAAAATAGATTTTTATAACAGAAAAACAGCTCATAAAAAGGCACATAAAGGAACAAACATGAGAATTCAGTGCAGCCAACCTGTTCTGCCGTCAGGAACAGAACCCATTATGAATTACCAGCCTTCAATGGTTTCTTCTATGAGACAATTAGAGGACTTATTAATCTAATAAGTTATTAGATACTCAATGACAATACTCTAAGTTAACAATTAAGTGAGAGTACTCAGTTAAAGTTATTTCAGATACATCTCAATTGAAATTCATAAAAAATATAATGGTTTACATATTCTCAGGGGGAGGGGGTTTGCTCTATACAATATTTAGGAAAAATTAATAATCTAGTTATTTCCCATTAGAAAAATGTTATTTTTACGAGGGCTATCCAGAAAGTAGATTATGTTTTGGAATAAAAAAATAAACAAAGTATAGGAAACAAATTTTATTATATACAGATGAAAGCCACACTCAAATACTACTTTTCTACATAGTCACCATACAAATTAAGGCATTTATCGTAGCGATGTACGAGCTTGGAAATTCCTTCGTCGAAAAATTCGGCCGCCTGCGCCTTCAACCACTTCGTTACCTCTTCTTGCAGCTGTGCGTCGTCATCAAAACGCTGCATAGCCAGCCACTTCTTCATTGCTGGGAATAGGTGGAAGTCGCTCGGTGCCAGGTCGGGACTGTACGGCGGATGAGGAAACAACTCCCACTTAAAAGATTCAAGAACTTTTACGAGTGACATTTGCCGTGTGGGGCCGGGCGTTGTCGTGAATCAACAAGATCTTAGAGCTCAACATTCCTCTGCGCTTGTTTTTGAATTGCTCTCTTCTGAGTTTTTGGAGAGTTTGGCAATACCTTTGAGAGTTTATTGTAGTGCCTCTTTCCAGGAAGTCCACCAAAATTACACCTTTTCTGTTCCAAAAAACAGTCGCCATCATCTTCCTTGCCGACATTGTTTGCATACATTTCTTGGGTTTTTGGGGAGAACTTGTGTGCCCCCACTGCATTGATTGCAATTTCGTTTCACAGTTCACATGTTTCACCCATGTTTCGTCACCAGTAACGATGCGATCGAGTAAAGAGTCACCATCCTTATGGTAAGCGTCCAAAAAGTTCAACGCTGCAGCCATTCGCTGATTTTTTGTGGTCCTCTGTCAAGATTTTTGGAATCCATCTTGCACAAAACTTGTGGTAACCAAGCTTTTCGCTGATGATTTCGTGCAACAAACTTCGCGAAATTTGTGGAAAACTCAAAGAAAGTTCCGTTATTGTGAAATTTCGATTTTCACGGACTTTAGCATCGACTTTTTCGAGAAGTTCGGCGGTCACTATGCTGGGTCTCCCACTTCGATCTTCGTCGTGAACATTGGTTCGGCCATTTTGAAATCTTATGACCCACTGACGCACTCCACCTTCAGTGATAATGTTGTCCCCATACACTTCACAAAGCTGCCGATAGATTTCTATCGGTTTACAGTTTTTTGCAGTCAGAAACCTTATTACTGAGCGCACCTCGCGGGATTTTCAATTAACGCAGACATTTCAAACCGTCACAGTATCTGAACGGAGCACAGCACGAACCTCTCACTAGCACGGCTAGATGCAGACTGAGCTGCGCAACGCTCTGACCCCAAGATGGCCGCGCTAGCCCCGCCCCTAGCGGACACAGACGAAAACGTAATCTACTTCCTGGATGGCCCTCGTATAACAATGTTCCCCCCACCCAAAACAAAACAAAAAAATATATATTTGAGTTTCTGCTGTTACTGCACAATGTGCTTTCAGATCAGTATTTTATACTTTGTCAGCGTTAAAATCATTAATATCTGACATTAATATCAAGATGCATGAATGATAATTAAATTTATAAAGCAGATGAATGACAATAATGGAGGGAAAGAAGGGGGGAAGCATAGTATAAAATTAAAGCAAAAAAGATACAGAATATGAATTTATATTATCAGTGTTACAGTTTAAATTTTAATTTCTCAAATTACAGTAACTTGCAAGTGTGGTTTGCAAATTGTTAACAACAGCATTAATAAATTAGTCTACAAACCTTTTGTTTAGAGAACTTTTTACACTTTTTAACATCTTCTACAGATATCTGAGGAGAAACTTCTTTACTTAATAACTGGATATTATTCGCAATGAGTACTGTCCTATAATAATGAAAAGGAGGAAAAGGGTAACAAGTATGCATTATGAATAATTATATAATTGCTCTGAGTTTTGAACTAAATACAGAAAATGTGAATACAGTCAAATATCGAAAATCTGCCGACCTGAAATCCGCGTTGCCTCTCGGAATATAAACATTCAGTTTATAGGTTCCGGAAACCGCAACATTGAGTACGAAATATCGAAGAAAAAAATACTTACCAAATAATGACGTCATAATTACCAAATAATAATGAGTCAAAATGGAAATATGAAATTACTGATATAAAAAAGTTTAAAAAAATAAGATAATTTTTTTCCCCTCTAATCTGCATCAAGGTAAAAAAGCAGACGATTCACTCAACTCTTTGTTCAAGTTCACGATTCAAGTTGTTGTATTTTCTGAGCTTTGTTATTTCATTTAACGAAATTGTTTAATGCTGCCTTTTTTATCCGGATATTTTGTTGATAAATTAAGAATATTTTTAATTTCAGCCCTTTTTAATACAATGACAGATAAGAAACGCACTCCTGATTTTACTGCTTGCAACGCTGAAAAACGTAAACACGTTGCGTTGACAGTAACAGTATGCGTTGACAGTATGTGATAATACAGTAACGCAAAAAGGACAAATTCTGCAAAAGATGGAAGCAGGTGCTACTCCTCGATTTATAGCAGAATGGTATGAAATTGCGACACGATTGTGTATGATAGAAGGAAAAATAAAGAAAAGCTCTTGAAATTTTACAGCATCAATGATTCTAACACCGGAATCCGAAACCAGAAATCTTTGCATGAGGCGAAATCGGCCAAACTCGATCGTGTGTACATATAATACAATAAATATTATAATCAATTTATATATGTAATAATAATTTAATGCATATAATAAATTATTGCAATAATGTATATACAGTCAAAAGGTGTTAATACGGACTCATCGGGACTTCGGCGATTCCGGATTATAGATCATCAGTTTAAATCTGGTAAGATGGCATGCAGAAATTATAAAATTAAAAATATGAAATCATGATTTATGAAATAATGAAGTATTTATGATCTAAATTATTTATCAAAATTATCAAAATATCAAAATTAAAAAAAACTCAATATTTGTTTACCTTATTAAACATTTCTTTCAGTGTAAGTTGTTCAAGTTGCTTCGTTTTATGTGATAATACTTTCTCTTTAATTCTATAAACAGACATAATTTCTTGTTCAGTTACAAAGTTACGCTGTTCAAGTCCTATAATTGCTGTGTCGACAATACCGACTAATTTGTCAATCGAAATTTTTTCGTTTTCAATAACCTCTGTGTCACTTTCTTCACTATCAGAAGCGAATTATAATGACGAGGAATTTGATTTAAATCACATCATATAAATAAGACGGATGGAGATGAAATACTACAATTAGTAAGGAATTATAAGCCAAATAAAATAAAAACATCTGCCCTGAAGATAAGCATAGTGCTGACAGATCAACTTCCAATTCATTGCGTGCTGCGGCGTTTCCCCCCTTACCCCCAACGCAGAGCAGCGTGAAATTGATAAACAGATTTCGGAATGGTTAGAGAAACGAAGGATATGCCTTTATCCATTTTTTGCAGCAATTCCAATTTTTGTTTAATGGACTTCGAAACATACTTTCACTTCGTAGATCCTTTACATATTAGTAAATATATATCGGAAATTCTATTTGAGATAATCGAAAGTTCAAGCTTACTTTTATAAAATTGCTCTAACAGTCTGCAAAAAATAAAAAGCCGGATCCAATTCGAAGATTAAGGAACAACGCAATCTGCAACCTTAACTTAATTAGATAATTTTAGCTTAGCCTATACCGTCCATTATACGCATGTGTAAACGTATTATGTGCATACGCATATTCGCAGCCGTAAAGGTCTTATGCGCATGCGTCAACACAACGCATGCACAGAAAGTTTGTAGCTTTGAAGTCCGGATTATAGATCATTCCGGATCATTGGTGTCTGAATTAACGACTTTTGACTGTTATAATTTAATTAAATGTATCTAATACACTTTATTCATTTTGCATTTTTAGTCCAAATATTATGCTTTATCTTTTCTGTCCTGAAATCCGCAAAATCACAAAATCCGCACAACCTCTGCGGATTTCTGGAATTCTATTTTATTATACACAAAAATATTGAAAACAGAACAAAGGAAACAAATAAACTAATACAAAAAATTAACATTTTGCAGGCGATGTAAAATCTTGTAGTATAGTTCCTCCAAAAAGCTACGCGAACTGAATCTATATAATATACATAAAAAGTTCCAATTTATAATATATTTAATAAAAGAATGCATATGCTTTATATTTAAAGCACCCACATCACTGTTTTAAGAAAGGTAAATAAAAGGTTTTCTTTGATATTTTGGATAATGCTCCTTATTCTACAAGTTCCATCTGGACATCATAAGATAACACATAAATAAGTCCGAGAAAAGAGAACTGTGATTTGGTTTATAAATGATGGATGCTACTAGACAATAATATATTCGAACAGTGTAATGTACATGAACTCCTTTCCAAAAGAAGAGCTGTTGTTCTATCACATCATGCCCATGCAATTTACATTTTCTCTCCCAGAAGACGTACTGATTTTCAAGTGCAAGGACAGTGAAAAATATAACAGAAATTACATTGAAGAAGAAGAAACTAAGTTCCAAAAATAGTTAGAAAAAACTCTATACCTGCTAGTGGTAATATTCTGCTTAAAAACTATCTTATTTTTAAGAAGGGTTTGTTCTTGATCTAGTAAAAATCTATGTATTTATGAACTCAATACAGGAACACATTTATCCTGCTATATAAAAACATTTAGAAGTCTACAAACAGTAACAACATGTAATAATAATAAATATTTGTTGTTGTTGCTAAATGCTCACATGTCTGACTTATTGTCAGCCCAAGCCTATGAAAATCCTCGTGGCAAGGAGTGTAAGTTTACGCCTGTCGTTGCCAACAGCCTTGAGCACCTAACAGGTGGCAGTGCAATTTAGCTCAGTTAAACCCTGGTGGGATGGGTCCGAGGGTCTCTCCCCCCTCTAGCCCTACTAGTAAACTCTCGAGAGGACTTTTGGCTTGCTGCGTATTTAGAGTAACCCCATGCTGCACGGACACTACACATTTATAAACATCCATGCCTTCTCCAGGATTCGAGCCTCGGTCCCTCGTACCACAGTCAGTGATGTAACTATACCAGTTGGACAGCCATAAGAAATATGACTTCATTTAACCTTAATATAAAAGATGAATAGAATCTTAAATAAATGAATAAAAAAAAAGCATTTTTTTACCTGAATGTGCCAGTTGTATATCCCATTTTTTTACTAGGTAAACACCGAAACATTCCAACAACCTGTACTCTGTCACCAGGCTTGCATACATCGACCAAATCATTGTCAGCTATTATATCAACAGTACGAGGTAGCTGTCCAGCTGGTGCCTTTTCTGGCATTTCTTGAATAGAGAAGGTTTGGTGGTTTTTATAAACAGATAATCCAAATTCAGTCTCTAGGAGATTACCATCTTCATCCTATAGGCAAATTCAAATAGATATATCACATATAAACTGCACAGATATATATAAATTTTTAGTTTTTATTAATGAGACCAGTTTTTTAAAATTAATACTCCTACATTTCATTCTATACTAATTCATTCTTTCAAATTATTTTTTTCTGTTATTCAGCTCTTCTTAATTAGTAGAATTGACTGATCTCAGCTTCATATTAGCTTAATTGGACTTTATTCAATGGTTCTCTAATTATCTTCTGATTATGATGAAACTGAAGAACAGTCAATTTGCTTTCTAAAAAATTTTATCCTCCTATTTTAATATTATGTTACTATTAAATACTGTAAAGTAATATTAACATTACAATGTTCAATAAGGTATCTTCATTTCTTCTTTCTTCTGTCTTGAATCTTACTCGCTCCTATAATTGTTCACTACTACTGCCTAGGCTTCAAATCATTCGGCACTGTTGGAATTGCTGTTTATGTCATCTGCTACATCTAAAACCCTGCTACCCTGTTAACTTCTTCCATCACCGTTCTTGATCCACATGGTTAAAAGCTTTATCTTGATTTCCAAAGTCATAAAAACATTGGATATCCCCATTTTCTTGAAGCTTTTAACTATTATTGTTTTATCAATCAGAGCCCATGTATCAGAAATCCAGAGCAAATCATTTACATCAATTCTGTTGATTTTTCCAGTTCTAGTAAAATTATGTGACATTGTTAAAATCTAGATGTTATAAAACTTTGGCAGATAGTTTTTGAACAGTTTAATTACCAATATGTCCAGTGGTTGGAGAAATGATTATGTAAGTCTTCCTGGAATGATAACAGGAACAGTGTACATTCTTTTTCTTTGTGTTTTATATCTTACGTGAAATGTTCCCAGATGCCATCCAATACTATTAGTGACTTCTTATCTAGAAGAGCACCAGGCTGACAGGTTTATACAATTTTGTGCTACTTTTTTACTAAATCGGACAATATCCAGCCATTCCTGTGTACCCTAACTATAATACTATTATAATGTTTCTTTTTCTTTTTTTTTTTTTTGGCTATGTCTTCTGTTTAACTCTTTGAAATCCTGACCCTTCGCTAAGCGGTATCCTCAAAATAACAGAACTGGCCGAAATATTTTTCCAGTTTCACAGCAATTTCCTCCCCTCCCCGTCCATTAACGCAGAAAATAGGTGTGAAGATTTCCAATGGCATCCTTTGTACTTTCTAACAAAGATTGCATTAGCCTTTGACCCCATTCTTTATAAAACTATTCTGAAGGTCAGATCAACAAGATTTTTCGGCTTTGTTATGATCACGACTGAGATTTTGTTTATTTCTGTTATTTTTATAGGAAGGAATAAATTGTTTAAAAATAAATAGAAGCCTTAAATTTTTAAACTGCTCTTTTATTGCTGTTTAAAGCATAAAAGCACACTGTACCACAAAAGAATTAAGAACGAAATGTCACGATCAAACAAAAGATAAAAAAATCCTCTTAGGACAAGTTGTCTGCAGTAACCTGATACAATGCATTTGGAGAAAGTGCACCTGCTAGTGGCACCTTAGGGGGAGGGAAGAAAAGAAGATTACAATCTTGGCCATTTTCGGGTGGTTCTGGTTGTTTCAATGTAGGGCCGTGTCGGGCGGATTGAATGTGAAGGAGTTAAAAATTACTTCTGTAGTTTTTAGCTACATTTTTTTAATTGAAGGGAGCTTGCTTTCTGAACATTTTGAAGAAAGGGGAAATTATATGAATATTTCAGAAATTTTCAAGGTAATAAATTTTACATGGCCCTTTCCCTATTTTAACTTTTTTACTTCATGTTTTGTTTAAAAAATTTTATCTTTTTATAATATTTTATTTTGCATTTCCTAATAAAGATGGACTAATTATTATTAGCTCTTATTTATATCTTCTTAAACATTTTCAAAGGAGCAGCTTTTATTCAAAGAAACTGTATTATAACCTAATAATTTTTCTGCATTACAACACAAGTATACATGTATATAAACAAAATAACTTAAATTCGTACCTGCCAATGAAACAGTAAAATAGGCAGAATAGTGCATTACTAAATTTGGAATCATATATGACCTCACGGCACAACTAGATTGACAACTCTATTCCCTTTCCAACAGTAAATAAAATTTTTAGCTTAGAATGCAATCACTTGTTAATTTTGGCTTACCAATGAGTAGTAAAGAAGACTGGAACTGAAGAGTGAATAATGGTTTAGACTCTGAAATCTGTTCTTTGAATCAAGAAATGCAAATTGCAAAATCATAAAATTTTTTTATTATTTTTAAAGAGGAATAAAACTGAAATATTGGCTTATTAATTCTTCTTTCTCTAACACTGCAGAACCATATTACAGCAATCTAATTTTAAGCCACGAATAATTTTACGGATTTCAAGTGGTTTAGGCCTTGCTTCCAGGTCTTCTTTAGGTAAATAAGATGGTGAGTCCTGTTCCTGAAGTTCAGGGCATCCTGCACTTTTTTCATCAACCCTTGTTATAGCTGCTGTGGTCATGAACTGTCCAGTCTGTTGATGTCCCGCAGTGCAAATATTGGGTTCCTGGTCTCTTCCCAGAAATTTTTTCCCCTCAGAGATGTGCTAAAGATAGCTAAACTAACTATATGAAACTATTAATTTACCCTGAATTAATTTGATCGGATAACTTAGTGTTACCCGATTAACTTTGCTGCTCTTTGAGATATAATTAACAAATTTAGTAGCTTAATTTATTTCATGAATTGATAAATTAGTGTAATGTTAATCTTATGTCTCACCATACCTTTTTGCTAATTCCTTGACTGTAATAAATGCATGTTTGTAGTAACTAATTTTGTGATGAACCATCTCTTATAATGCATTAGCATCCCTGAGGCTGCTGCTACTAAATAGGAATTATCACTTTACACAATGCAATGTCTTTCTTAATATTTCTTTTCTCTTTTTCTCCTTCCTTTAAGTAATTTGCAGTTTGATGTAATGTTTATTTGTTAAAATTATCAGTGTTGTTACATTATGACATCAGCTGAGTTTTACCTTGCATAAAAAAATTTATTTCCATCAGCCTCACCTGTTGCACTAGACCATTCAACTACACCATAACAAATGGTACCGTCACATATAACAATAGAAAAAAAAATGTAAAAACTAAAGCATAGTTAATGAAAATTGAAATTTAATCTCAATGATACAAACAGAATAAATGTCAAAATCAAACTGAAATATTGGCTTATTATATTAATTCTTCTTTCTCTAACACTACAGAAGCATATTACAGCAATCTAATATTAAGCTAATTCAAAAATTTAGGATTTTAATATTCAGTTTGCTTTAAATAGTACTACAATTTACAGTTAATATGGTATGCATTACTTTAGTAGGATATACAGAGCTACTTGGATATGCGTCATAAGCTGTGAGATCTGTATACCGTCTTTCAATAGTTTTAGTAGTTGCAGGACAATAATGAACACTTCTCACAACTTTTGGGCGAACAAGAGAACCTAAAAGAAAAGAAAGAAAAAAAAAAGAAAAAAAAAAAAAAAAAAAAAAAAAAAAAAAAAAAAGCGCATACAAATAAAGAAATAAAAAGTATGAAAGCTGAAAAAATTGTAAGCAAAACTAATAAGAATGAATACATACATAAACACTGAAAACTGTTGGCTATATTTTTCTAAACAGAGAAGAAAAATATTAAGATCAATTTAAATTTTTAATAATTAACATACATTTAGAAAATTATATAAACCAAAGGAAAAAAGTCATTTAGGAAATTTCTTGGAATATCACCCTTAATTGGGAAATCATATATACGAAAAGAATTTCTGAAAAAAATTGAAAAAGGAAAACAATGAGTCAACAGAATTTAAACATGCATATAAAAATGGTGGTGGGGATAAGAGGGCATTTTAAATAAAGTTTAACATTGTATTTAATAATACATAAAGAGAGTGAATTCAAATTTTTTGGTTAGAAATATACACTCACTTCCAAAAGTTAAGCACGAAGATGTAGAATGCAAAAAAATCAACAAACACTGCTTTGATTGACACAAAATTCGGCAGGAAAGTAGCATATATATTTATGCATAAAACAAGATGAATAATTATATACAGAAATGAAAACAATATTAAATTTTTATAAGTTATCAGATAATGACATACTGGAGACTTGAATAGAATTATGTATAAAGTGAAGATAAACAGCATAAAATGAAACAAAAAGACATTAATAAGGTATGTGATTCCCCCCCCCCCTCATCTGTATACAAAGTTTACATCTGTGGCCATGCTTTGAATTAGGTAGTCAACCACCGCAGAATTAAGCAATCACCATTCTTCTTGTAGAGCAATTTCCAGCTCAATAACAGTGGCTGGAGGTGGGAAATGTGAAGATAGAGCACGGCCGAGAGCATCCCAAAGATTTTCAATGGGATTAAGGTGGGGCGAATATGCTGTCCACGCCATATGCGCAATCCTTTCACTCTCCAGGTGTTATTGACGATGTCAGCTCTATGGTGACGTGTGTTATCGTCCATTAAAACAAAAGTAGGGCCAACTACTGCAGTGTACAATCTCACAATGGGTTCTAGGACTTCATCTCGATACCAGACAGCCGTCAGAGAACCCCGTTTAAAGACGTGCAGGTCAGTGCGGTATCCTAATGAAATCCTTGCCCACACCATAATGCTTCCACATTGGAATGCATGATGTTCGGTGATGTTTTGGGATTGATTGTGTATTCGTTGTTCACGTCATACCCTTATATGCTTGTCATCTGGCTCCAGAGCAAATCTTGATTCATCAGTAAACATGATATTGCCCCAGTCAGACACATTCCAATTGACATGTTCCCGGCACCATTGTAATCATGCCCCTCTTGATTGGATGAACAGAGGAACACAAACTTGAGGTACCCGGGCGTACAGTCCACTCATGTGTAATCTTCGGCGTACAGTAGCTGCAGATATCGCCTTACCAATGGATGCTGTAAACATAGATGTCACACGTGTGGAGGTTGCTCTGCGATTCCGCTTGGCTACAATAGCAATATATCGATCTTCCGCGGGGGTTGTAACCCTTGGGTGATCGGCTACAGGCCTTCGGACAACTGTCTGTGTCGTTTGGAATTGTTTCTATAAACCTGAAATTACAGAATGATGAATGCCGAAGAAAATGGCAACATCTGTGATCGACCGTCCTGCTTGAATGCGCCCCACAACACGCTAGCGCTCAGAATCTTCCATTCGTCTTCTGAAAGTCATAGAAACACATATGTCTTGAAAACAAATTGTACGAAAGTTTTAAACACCTTCTATCCGCACTTACAATCAACTTCTGTAACCCTTCATAAAGCTGGCTTCTTATAAGACTGCCTTTTTTTGCATATTTTTTTTACATGAAAGCGCGATTGGCTGTTACCGAAAATATTTGCATACTTCCATTTACCTCTGCAGCGAATTGCATCCTCTTCAATTCTGATTGGCTTCCGGAAATTAGCATTTTCCTCTTCGCGCTTAACTTTTGGAAGTGAGTGTATATAGTAGAAATGCAATCTCATAAAAATACTGGATTGATAGTTCTAATTACTACAAAAAGGTGATGTGATGAAAGGAGTATGTAAATTGCTGTCTTTGTTCATATTGTTCATGAATTTTGCTGGGAACAAAAGTTTGAAGTTTTTACCATCGCCAAAATCACTAAGTTTGTTTGAAATATAAACTTAATCATCCTGCCATTCGGTAGTGTATCAAACCACAAAGTATAAAATTAAAGATCCTGTACAAAATACATTCCTAACATGATATTTCAGCTGATTTTGGGCTACTGTGCCTTGAAAATCTATGACTGTCAGTAAAATTCAATATTTTTATTTAATTACATTTTAGAAATATTCTTCACTTTTCATTAATTGGAACACAGCTTCTATTTGTTTCAGTTCATTTTTATATAGGCTTTGTACACATGAAAATTAAGTACTGTTAAGGATCATTAATGGAAAAAAATTAAGGACCTATCTGCAAATGGGAGCTGCATAAATTCAATTAAAGATATTATCTATGCCATGATTACATCAGAAAAGGCGAAATTGACAATCCTTCAGTAGCTAATCATTGTTGGAAACTTAATCATAATTTAGACTTTGGGTCCGCAAAAATCCTTCAAAAAGCTTCCTGAATTTCTGAATTTGATTTTCTTGAGGCTTTTCACATTCACAAAGATTTATCTTGTTTAGTTAATGACTTTAGTCATTCCTAAAGCTTTTAAAATTAACTTAATTTTGGAATTTGGTTAATATTTTTGCCAACACATGGCCCTACCTTCCTGTTCTGCTTTGCTGTGGAATATAAATATGAACATTACGTAAAATGCTTTCCAGTCTTACAGATTTCTTTGCTTCTAATGAAGAGAGACCTGTACCTGTTTGCTCAAAGTAAATTATTAATTTGATATTTTGTATTTTTACGTAACGTAACATAATGGCGTTCACAACAGGATGCCGAGTAGCTTTAATTCAAAATTTATTACAGTGAAATAGAGACTTTTGACTTTTTATTTTAAATAGAGAGTATTACTGTTAAAATTTGAATGATTGATTTTATAATGAATATTTGTTGAACTTTAGATTATTCATTAAGAATTGGATTTACGAACAGTAATAACACTCACTACTTTTGATTTCAATTATGGAAGAACTTAAATGATTTAGAGGTTGTTTAAGAACAAATTTTACTAAGACTGCGAATAATTTAGATGAACTTTTAAAGGTCCATACATTAGATTTAGATAAGATTACAGTTCTTTTCGCTCAACTTGAAGAGAAATGGCAAAAGATAAATACTTTGGATAAACAGGTATTAGAGTTATTAATAGTAAGATACCAAGTGTTCTAATGAAGATTGAAAAAAGAAATCGAACCACTGAATCATACAGATAAATTTATATATTTTAAAACGAAAGTAACTAGACTTGAACAGAACTTTAGTGAAAGGAAAAATATTTTACCTAACAATAAAAATGAAGCTGTTAAACAAAAATTTAAACTTTCTAAAATTGAATTAAGAAAGTTTAATGGCGAGACAAAAGAATGGTTGGGATTTTGGGGCCAGTTTAGAAAAAATTCATGAAGATCAGGAAATAGACCCCGAAGATACCATCTTTTTCTGAAAATAAGACATCCTCAGAAAATAAGCCCTATCGTGATTTTCGGAACTTTTTGTAGAATAAGACATCCCCCGAAAATAATCCCTAGTTAAAATAATGTGACAAAAAGAATTCGTTAAAAAATGCTGTTGATTTATTAAGTAATATTATGATTAGCTTTCCTAATACTCGTATTTCAGAGAAATGTTTGAAACAAAATATTCCAAGAAATTGTTTACCTCTACAGTTCGTTTCAATAATTTGGAATTATCTTAACCAGTCACCGTTTGCCCCCGAGAGAGATAGTTCACAGGAAAGGTATTGTCATTTGTTAGCGTCGGCAGACTCTCATCGGGGTGAAATGAAAATGAACCGTAACCCTGGAGACACATACGACACAGCGACCTTTTCCAGCCCCCACAGAATGAATCGAAAATCAAAAGGGGTGATTGATGGGTTTACTTATCTTCTAGTGGTGTCACATTAAAATCACGCGTTGCGTTTCAGGAAAGTAAAGGATGGGGGACACTTCTTCAATAGCTACCCCCTCAACATATCTTATGAGATCCACACAGCTTTCTCCCCTTCCATTACAACAAAGGGATTTGAATGCTATCTTTTCAATCTCAGTGATTCAATTCTTCTCTTTGTACAGGCCATCAAGAAAATAATAAAACAAAATTCAAGGACTTTCAAATACTAGCTAATGCCCTTATTTTACTTATATAAAGCTTTTTCTTGACAATAAAATTACCTTTACATTGTAATAGATCGCAATAGATTTGGGTTGGTTGGTGCAGGAAGTAGAAGTGGGGTTGGGGCAAAGGGGAAAATATCTGCTCTAAGGACACACCAGTCTTTGTTTTATGTTGCCCCTTAGGGGGTCGTTATTCACATCCTTCGTGTGACAGGTACGCTGTTCAATCTGATTTTGAACAGAACTTCTAAATAGGCTTCACAGGTAATGAAAGGGGGGAAAGAAATACTCTGAGCCCAGTTCTAGACACAAAAGTTTACCTTTGGATGCAAAAAAATGGCACGAAATGTTTGCGATTTTCCTAACGCCGAACTGGTTAAAAATACAACATTAAAGCAGTAGTCTACATTGAGTGACAGTGCAGGTATACAACGTTCATTCATTTCAGTCTTGTAAGTCTGATTATTCCTCATTCATAATTTTATTTAAAAATAAAGTGAAATTTTTAACCCCAGTTAAAATGAGTACAAACGAAAGAGCTAATTGAGAATCCGTGGAAGACTCCAGGGGTGTAAATCTTGTAGCATTCTGTAAAGAGAAGATGCTGGATCTTCGTATGGTTCGTAAATGGCGTGTAGACGACGATTACCTGGTGGACCAAGGA